GTTACATTCGAAGGTATATTTGATATCGATATGATCAGCAAACCTATCAACAATAAATTTGCCACTGGAATAATTATGGATGATACGCTGACCCGCTGTAAAACGTAAAATGATGAGCTTGATGACAAGTGGTTGTCTGCTTCTGAACCATTGTTAAAAGATAATCAGCTTATCAACCAACCCAAGTCCAGTTTGAGAGTAAAACACGACAAGAAAATCTGACACCAAAGTCCGATCTGCCACTTATACCTGGTAAGTGGGGCTATTATTCCATTGCCCACCAAAATTTCTGAGGAATACAACTCTGGGTTGCCAGATGGATTGATAGATTTGTTGGAAGCAAAGACTAACGCCGCCGCGTTGGATCCTGAAGAACGCTTCCAGCTGTTGACCTTACTAAAGAATAACCAAGATGTTTTTGGTCAAGGTTTGCATGAAATTGGGCAAACTGATGTAATACAACACTGTATTGATACTGGCAATGCTTAGCCAATTGGACAAAGACCTTACCATTTTGCGGAAGCTCAAAAAAAATCACTGGCCAAACACATTGAGGAGATGCTAGCAAATAATGTCATTGAACCAAGTGTCAGTCCCTGGTCTAGTCCGGTAGTCATGGTAACAAAGAAAGACGGAACTTCCAGGGTATGTATTAATTATTGAAAGCTAAATAACGTTTTCAAAGAAAGATACCTATCCACTCCCACGAATAGATGAAAGTCTCGACATGTTACATGGGGCGAAATATTTTTCTTCATTGGATCTTTTAAGCAGATATTATTAGGTGCAGCTCGACAATTGATCTAAAGAGAAAACTGTGTTTATATCACACAAAGGATTATATCAGTTTAAAGTTCTTTCTTTTGGTCTGTCTAATGCTCCTTCAACATTTCAACGAATGATGAATTAAATACTTCGTGACCATCTATACAAAAGTTGCATACAAACATTGCATGCTCTATTTAGATGATATCTTGATATACTCAAAAACGTATAAAGAGTACCTTGAACATATACAGATGATAATTGAAGTCGTAAGACAAGCTGGATTAAAATTAAACATACTGAAATGCACCTTTTGCACAACTGAAATAAAATTTTTAGGACAAAAATATTAATGCAGATGGTATTAAACCGGACCCCGAAAATGTTAAAGCAGCAAATTATCCGGTACCTCAAAATATAAAAGATGTTAGAGCCTTCATTGGTTTGTGTAGTTACTATAGAAGATTTATTAAAAGATTTTAGAACATTGCTTTACCGTTAAATAATTTATTAAAAAAGGATGCCAGTTTCAAATGGCAGACCGAACAACAAAATAGTTTTGAACAACTCAAACAATACCTTGTTATGACACCCATTTTAGCTTATCCAGACTTTGAGAAACCTTTCATAATATATTCTGATGGAAGTGGCGAAGCGTTAGGATATGTTTTATCGCAATATCAAGGAGACCTTGAACAAGTCATTCTCTATGGTGGACAAAATTTTAAAAGTACGGAAAGTAAATATTCCACAAATGAAAGCGAAGCGTTAGCTGTTGTTGTCGCAGTGCAAAAATGTAGACCATATATCTATGGAAAAATTTTAAAAATTGTAACAGATCACAATTCACTGAAATGGTTAATGTCTATTGAAGATCCAACTGGTTGACTTGCAAGATGGAGTTTGATATTGCAAGGTTAATACTTCGAAATAGAGTACAGACCGGGGAAAATGCATGGTAACGCTGATAAACTTTATTTTTTTTTACAATTACAAAACAGTTGCAACATTGACAGTACCAGGTAGACCAACTGACCAGGATGTAAAAGAACAACTTAACGATCCCTATTACGCCAATTTAGTGTCATATCTAGCCAATAAAGAGCTACCGGAAGACTTAAAAGAAACAAAGAAAGTCTTAGCGTTAGAAGGCAACTACTACTTAGATGAGAATGGTTTACTATTCCATCATGAATCAAAAACCTCAAGAAATCTCACCCAGTTGGTTGTACCACAATCTTTAAGAACTGAGTTAATAACCTGGGCCCAAGATGAACCATGTGAAGGTCACTTTCGGAGTGACAAAAATCTATGAAAAAGTTAGAACTAATTACCATTTGATTGGTATGTATAACAACATACAAACCTGGGTAAAATCATGTACCACTTGTGGTCAACAAAAATAGAATCCGACTACTAGCAAAGCACCCTTGTTACCAATTCCTGACAAAGGACCATGGGATATTGTTGCAGTCAATTGTTCAGAACCTTTCCCACCTTCATTAAAAGTAAATCGCTACATAGTTGTTTTTGGTTGCTTATTTACAAAGTATGTTGAAGCTTTTGCAGTTTCCACCATTGCGGCAACGTTTATTGCAGAGTTATTTGTAGACAACATTGTGTTCAAGCATGGAGCACCAAGGCGATTTCTAACCAATAGAGGTAGTAATTTAACAAGCACATTAGTAAAAGAAGTGTGCCAAATATTAAATGTAAAAAAGTCTTTTACAACCACTTATCACCCCCAAACCGACAGGTTTGTGGAACGCATTAATGGAATTTTGGCTCAAAGTCTTTCCATGTATGTTGCCTCTAACCAATGAGATTGGAATGTCCATCTTCCAGCCGCTGTATATGCGTATAATACTAGTAAACACTGGAAAAACACCTTTTAGGTTGACATATGGCAGAGACTCTCTACTACCCCACGACACTACCCTACTACTGAGAAAAGACCCAACAGACAATACAGACTTACTTATTCAACTGGTTGTGTCCGATTTAAGATTATTACATAATCTTGCAAAGGATAATATTCAAAAAGCGCAGACAAAAATGAAACTGCACCACAATCAAATAGCTAAATCATATCCGTTTCAAGTAGGACATAAAGTGTGGGTTTATACGCCAATCATGATGAAAGGTTTAACGAAAAAAGTTTCTGGCATGGTCTGTTTCATTTAATTGAATAAACATCCCCCGTGATGTTCAAAGTTGAAAAAATGAATAATAAAAAACTGCCTACACCGATTCATGTATCTCGTTTTAAGCAATGGTTTGGTTATGAAGAAAAACCAACAGCGGACATAGCTCTAAGCACTGAAGTTCTAGAAACAAGTGATGAATTTTGTTTGGAAGAACATACCCAGAAAAGGAATAAACAAATTTTACAACCAATAAAAAAAAAGAAAAAACAAGAAAAGGAAAAAACAACATTTACAACCAATAAAAAAAAATACAGATAAAATACAACATAGCTTGCCGGAACACGAAAATGACAATGCAGATATATTTAAAATGGAAGAAATAGGAAAAAGGCAAAGGAAAGGTAAAACTCAATACCTAGTTAAATGGAAGAACTTTCCTTCGATTCAAAATACATGGGAACCAGAGGAAAACATCTTCTATAAACAAGTTGTACAAAAATATTTAGAGAAAACAAAAAAAGCTTGCATGTTTCCGCAATATCAATGGTAATTCCGAGTAGATAACAAGATAAAAAGCTGACCAGAAATAGAGTTTTACCAATTTTCCATATAAATAGATTATGGAATATAATGATTCCTGTTATTCTCTCATGCTTACTTGTCTTACCTCAATTTACCACAGAATTATTTATAGGAGAAGTATATGATTGTACAAAGGTGAAATCTATCGGAATTTTTCAATTACCTGAAATTACGTCATGTAATCACAACATGCATAAGATAAATGACTCGGTGAAAACGTTTATTGCAGATGTTTACGCCTACCGACCACAAATAACAACAATAATCTTATATTATCGTTATGCCGACAAGATCAGTCAACGTCAATGTCCCCTAAAGGAAAAAGACATTTTGCACATGTTTCCAAATATCGAGCTTGTAAGGCTGTTCATAGAGACTAGAAGATTACCTTTTAACGGTAATGGCAGGATTCTATGACCAAGATTCCTGAATGGGAATTGAGACTACCCATGCACCACGAGTTTCCTACAGTGAAGTTGTTTCCTGTAGTTTATTCGAGAACTTTATTTTTCCTAATGCTGCTTTGCACTTTTGAGTTTTGTGTTGCTGTTTGCAAAAATGCTGTTTTCCAAAGATTTTTTTACGATAATTTGTGCTGTTTTGTGGTTTGCAATAATGCTGTTTAGCAATGATTTTACGATAATTACGATGAACTTTTATAGTGCTGTTTGGAACAATGAGTTTTATGTTTCCAATGAGACTGTTTAGCAAATGATTTTTATGACTTTTTTTTAATGGTTTTTCAAATATTTACTGATTCTGCTGATTATTCAAGACATTGCTGTTTTGCAGATTCTATTTATTGATTCTACTATTTATTCAAGATTCTGTTGTTGGCGAAGATTTTACAAGTTCTACTGTTTTAATGATGCTTTTAAGTCTGAGGACGGACTTTATCCGTTTGGTAGGTAATATTACGAAGGACTCAAACAAAACCACTCAAGCGGAACATGAAAGCCTAATGAAGCGTGTAGCGTTTGGAAGAAACATTGTTGGTAAACTAACCTGTTTAGTAACCGTAGACGCGTCTAGCATCTGTTTATGATATAAAAACAGGAAGAAGACCGGAAACAAAGGGAGAGGGAGAGTAAGATATATGGATAGTTAAAGTAAAGAGCGAGAAGATATATGGATAGTTAAAGTAAAGAGCAAGAGAGATATATGGATATAGAGATATATGAACATTTGATTATAATTATGTAACTTTTTATATAAACTTTCTGAACAATATTATTACGTAACGTTAGCGAGTAATCGTTATTTACCTACCGCATTACAATATATACATATATATATATATATATAAATATATATATATATATTTATAGATAGATATATATAAATATATATATATATTTATAGATAGATATATATATAAATATATATATATATAAATATATATATATATATATATATATATATATATATATATATAAATAATATATAAATACAATAGTATTTGTAAAAAAAACAACAATAAATTTCATAAGTAGTCACAGTACATACTGTTGCAGGTTTTTGACTCAGTACTGTTTCCTGAACAAGTTAACCATCTATTAGATTTACAATCACGAGTTCTAGTTGAAAATCCTGATGGATTGCAGTTTGACCAATATCCCCATTGAGACCAAAACACTATAACAAGTGAGTAAAAAAAAACAAGTACAAAAAATGCTTTTAACTACAAAAAGCAATGTTTTATTATCTTTGTTATTTTAAATATTATGTAATGAATCTAAGATTATAAACTTATTTTATAGTGTCAGATATTTATAAAATCATGTGTTTTATAAATTAAGGTAACATTGATTAACTATTTACTAAACCAATTAATTAAATCAAACATTAATTTAGCACTAACATAAATTTAGTTGTTTTTTTTTAATTAATATTAATTAAATAAAAATCCTATATCATTAATTATATATAAAACAAAACTTATATATAACTTATATAATTATATATAAAAAAAAACATTATAAAGTATTATACAGTAATATCTTTTATTCTAGTTAAAAAATAGTAAAATTTTATTTGTATAATAAAAATAATATAAACGGATATATAAAATAAAAAGCAGTTTAAAATAAAGTGAAATAAAAAAAGTGAGTAAAATAAAGTTTGGGTTTTTTTAAAACTGTTTAAAACAACAAAACTAATGCTGATCATTGTTTTAAAAACTTTTTTAAAACAGTTCTTTTATCAAATTCAAAAAACTTTTTGATAACTGTTTTTACAGTTTTCAAAAACTTTTCTCTTAAAGAAATTCTAGAATAAAATTTTAAATATTTATGGACTTCTAACTCTTAATTTTTTTTAAATTGCAAATATTTACACACAATCTAATTTTAGTGCTTATACTTAGCTTATATATATATATATATATATATATATATATATATATATATATATATATATATATATATATATATATATATAATAACGGAAGAGCTATTAGAGGTTGTCCATAAATTACGTCCCGCTTTGAAGAGTGGGTGAGGGGGTTAGGCAATTTTATGACAATTTGTTACAAAAGGAGGGGGGGTCTTGATTGTGTGATGCAACATTTTTTTCTTTTTTTAATTTAAATATAGAGAAGACTTTCTTTTAATTAAAAGAATATCTGATCAAACCAAAACCCTCAGTTAATATATCTAAATTAAAAAAAACAACCAAAATCCTCAGTTGATATACGCCTAAATCTTACTTAGTTGATGTGTACACTTTGTTAACAGAGTAGTTACAGCCCGTAATAGACTGTTACAGCTGTAACAGTCTATGTGCAGTGAACGTTCTGCGCTTTATCTTTATATGGTAAGAACTTTATTTAGTTAGTGCACAAAAAAACAACTTTTGTGCGCTAATTAAAAAAATAAAAATTACGATACCGAGAGGCAAACCTGGAACCCTCAGTTTACTAGACTGATGCGGAATCCACTCAGCCACGCTAAAATTGCAAGTTGAATAAAATTGTATTTTTAAAATAATATTTTTGCGTTTATAGTATATTATTATGTATTATGTATAATATATACTATGTTTTGCATGTAATATATATCAAAAGAATAGGTTTTTAAAATTGGTATCATGTTTAGGATAGCAATATTATTTAATACAACTTTACACGGAACTATTAGGATGAAAAAAAAACATTTAACAGACTGAAAAATACTAAATAATAAACTCAAAAAAGCTCAGTTGAAAAAAGAACACTAAAGTAGAAAAAGTGTGTCTAACAGCGCTCTAGTATATATATATATATATATATATATATATATATATATATATATATATATATATATATATATATATATATATATATATATATATATATACATTTTTATATTATTATTTTTATATTATTATTTTTATATTTATTTAATTAGTTATTAATTAATTATTTATGTTTTTATAATTAATTAGTTTAATTAATTATTTTCTTAATTAGTTAATTAAGTAATTTATGAAATGAATAATTATATAAAAGACTGTTTTTAAATTGTCGTTTTACTTTGTAAAGCGATTTTTAATTTTTTAAACTAAGTTATGTTTTTTTAAGTTTTTGTAGACATTCATAGGGAACATGATTTTTAATGAATATTTACAACAACAAATTTCATTTAAATTAATAAATTGCTTGTATTTTTGCTTTAGTTGATTATTTTTTAAATTTTAAAATATTGTGTCAAAGTATAATAAAAGCTTTTTCAATTTAAAAATAATTTCGAATAAAAAAATTTCCATATTTAAGACTTTTAATTTTATAAAAAAAACCTTTAACTAAGGATTTAACGAGATTCATAAAATTTTTTTGCTAGATAAATATATTAGATATTTTTTTTAGCTTTTTTTTTATTATTTTCTTTCAAATTTAGTTTCTTTTTTTTAGCACTTTTAGGGTGCTTAGCGAAACGTTAAATGCAAGCGCATAGAAGCCATCAAGTTATCAAAAGAAAATATTATAAGAGTAATCAGGCAAGACATTTTTTTGGAATATGTTTTTGTTTCAACGTGTGTGTGAATACATATATATATATATATATATATGTGTGTGTGTATGTGTGTGTGTGCGTGTATTTATATATGTGTATGTGTAAACATATATATATATATACATATACATGTATATATATATATATATATATATATATATATATATATATATATATATATATATATATATATATATATATATATATATATATATATATATATATATATATATATATATATATATATATATATATATATATATATATATATATGTATATATATATATATATATATATATATATATATATATATATATATATATATATATATATATATATATATATGTGCGTACATATATATTATCAACCCTCTAAATCAGAAAAAATGAGGTCGGCATACAGGATTGGCCAGGAAAGCGTGCGATTTCAAATCTTTATATTACCACGCAAATAATATTTTGTTTTGATGATTTAACCACTGTTTTTAACAAATGCGCTGAAAAAATTGGTTTTTAATTATGTTGAAAATAAATTACATTGACACGTTTATCTTTACTAACGTTTTTAAATTAAAGTATTATTGAATGTTGTATAATTTGTATAAATTATTTAATTATATAAGATTTTTTTATAAGTAAAAATAAAAAAAAGAGTAAAAATTAAAAAAGAAAATTAAATTTTATAAGCAAGAAAGGCTGTTTAAAACTTTAAACAGCAATAAACAGCAATATGAAGTTTAATAAGAATCATTAAAGTTTTTGTAGAGAAGAAAAAAAAGGAAAAACTTTTTTGAAAGCCGTTTGAATGAATTAAATACTTTATTCTTTCCTTTCATTTTTATAACGCATTTAAATAAAGTAACAAATTACGTCTAATGATTTTTTATAAAAACAATGAATAATATATATATATATATATTTAATATCATATAAGTATTTATTTTTTATTATAAATATTTTTATTATAAAATTATATCAATTTTTTAAATAAACGATTTAATAATTTTTTTCTTTTGTGCAAAAAACTGTTAAGAATATATTTATAAACTTTTAAATGCATGCGTTTTTTAAACGATTGTCAGTTGTTAGTAAGTTGTTACTTTTTTTAAAAAGAGTTAAATAAAAACATTAGTAAAGATAAACAATTAAATAAAAAGATTAGTAAAGATAAAGATAAAATAAAAACATTAAAAAAGATAAATGTTTCAAAGCTATTTATTTAAAACATAATTTTGATAATTTTATCATTATAGTTTATTATTTATTTCAGTTAAGTTTTATTTTTTTTTTGCTATTTAAGTTTTAGTTAAACTATTTAATTTTGTTTTTCATTATTTTTTTTTTACAAAGGTTTATTTGATTCTTTAAAGATTTGTTTTTTTCAAGTTTATTTATAGTTAAGTTAAGATTTAATTTAATATTTTTTTAGAGTATTTTCAAAACCTATACAAATTTTCAAAACATTCTAACAGCTGTGATCAAGTTAAGTAAAATCAATTAGTATTTTCGTGGTCATATTATGACGTGAAATTGCAAACCTTCCAGGCTAAGCCTATATATATATATATATATATATATATATATATATATATATATATATATATATATATATATATATATATATATATATATATACACTTACTTAAGCGTGTTTTGATAAACATTTGCTCACTTTTTGTGCTTACTTCAAGGTAAACCGTTTTTTCGAAAAAGAAGAAGAAAAAAAACGAAGAATGATAAATAAAACGATTGCTTTCCCATCCCAAACCCTCAGTCGATGTAGCAGCACTTCACTGCGAGTCAGGCTATTTGTCAGTCGTTGTATGTACTGAAGCCCCCAGCAGCCGGCTATTTTAGTATGACGTCAGATTGCTTACCAAACTACGCAATACTATTTGTATATATATATATATATATATATATATATATATATATATATATATATATATATATATAT